GCGCCCACGCTTCATCCACTCCCTTCCATACCCTTGCCGCCACCTTATGCGACTCGGCCCAATATTAGGTATTTACTTTAGCGCAAGGCCCTGACTGTAACTGAGCACACGGCCGCAGCGACCAAATCATCCTGCAAAAACCAAAAGGCATGGTTCCCCTAAGTTTGTCCTAATGTTGTCTAAATATACTCCCTTTAGGGCTATGAACAATGGTGCGGTGGCGAGTCACTCAGTCCTCACTCCTCCACTACCATTACATCCAAACAAAATTTAGTTCATGGCCCGGGCACAGTCGCCACGCCTCGTAATCCCAGCCACCTTTGGAGGCCAAGGCGGGTAGATCAGATCACCTGAGGTCAGGAGTTCGAGACCAACCTGACCAATATGATAAAATCCCGTGTATACTAAAAATACAAAAACTAGCTGAGTGTGGTGGCGTGTGCCTGTAATCCCAGCTACTCAGGAGGCTGAGACAGGAAAATTGCTTGAACCCAGGAGGTGGAGGTTGCAGTAAGCTGAGATCACGCCACTGCACTCTAGAGTAGGTGATACAGCGAGACTCTCTCTCAAAAATAAAATAAAATAAATTTAGTTCATGAACATATTGATGAGTGTATGATACTGTTATTCATCTGGAATAATACTGGTAATAGGAGATGCAGTGACCGCCATTTAGTTTTGCCTATAGTTTCTTTTCTTTTTTTTTTTGAGACGGAGTCTAGCTTTGTCACCAGCCTGGAGTGCGGTGGTGCAATCTCGGCTCACTGCAACCTCTGGCTCCCTGGTTTAAGCCATTCTTAAACCAGGCTGGAGTGCAGTGGCGTGAACCGAGATCACGCCACTGCACTCCAGCCTGGGTGATAGCATGAGACTCCATCTCAAAAATAAATAAATAATAAAATAAAAATAAAATAAATAAATAAACAAATAAAATAGAAAGGATGACACTTTTGCTTAGTGGTTAAATAGGCATCAGGACACATCACTCAGAGGCTTGACAAATCAGGGGCAAAATCACCAATTGCTCAGTTTCCATTTAACGAGTATATCCTGAGCCAACATGGCTCCTGCACACAAGGACTTTAAGATGATAAGAGGGAACATGTCAGTTAAATAGCTATGTAAGGCAGTGCAGTATTATAGTATATAGTAGGCTGGGTACAATATACCTCATAAGGTTGTTGTGATTAAATGAGACAATGGCTATAGTTTTCACTGTGCCTAACACATATTAAGGCACTTAAAAAAAATTTGCGGCCACGAGCAGTGACTCACACCAATAATCCCAGCACTTTTGGAGGCTGAGGTGGGTGGACTGCTTGAGCCCAGGAGTTCAAAACCAGGCTGGGTGACATGGTGAAACCCCCATCTCTCCAAAAAAAAAAAAAAAAAAAAAAATTAGTTGGTCACAGGGTGTGTGCCTGTAGTCCCAGCTACTGGGGAGGCTGAGGTGGGACAATTAAGGAATCCTCAGGCCCAGGAGACGGAAATGTAGTGAGTCAAAGTCGAGACACTGCATTCTAACTTAGGCAAAGGGAGTGAAACCCTGTCTCAAAAAAAAAAAAAAAAAAAGTCCAGGCACGGTGGCTCACGCCTGTAATCCCAGCACTTTGGGAGGCCGAGGCGGGTGGATCACGAGGTCAGGAGTTTGAGACCAGCCTGGCCAATATGGTGAAACTCTGTCTCCACTAAAAATACAAAAATTAGCTGGGCGTAGTGGCGCATGGGCAGAGGTTGCAGTGAGCTGGGATTGTGCCACTGCACTCCAGCGTGGGTGACAGAGCACACTCCGCCTCAAAAAAAAAATTTTCTTTTTTGCAAGGTTGTGTAGGACATACCATGTATAGAATTATATAAATTAGGAATGTTTTGGATGCAAGTACCAAAAATATCTAACAAGGCCTTAAACAGAGGTTATTTTTTTCCCATATAAGATGCCCAGAGAGGCCAGGCATGGTGGCTCATGCCTGTAATCCCAGCACTTTCCCAGGCCAAAGTGGGTGGATCACCCGAGGTCAGGAGTTCAAGACCAACTTGGCCAACATGGTGAAACACTGTCTCTACTTGAAATACAAAAATCGGTGAGGCACGGTGGCTCATGCCTGTAATCCCAGCACTGTGGGAGGCTGAGGCAGGTGGATCACTGAGGTCAGGAGATCGAGACCAGCCTGACCAACATGGTGAAACCTCACCTCTACTAAAAATACAAAAATTAGGCCGGGCACGGTGGCTCACTACTGTAATCGCAGCCTTTGGGAGGCCAAGGCAGGCAGATCACCTGAGGTCAGGAGTTCGAGACCAGCCTGATCAACATGGAGAAACCCTGTCTCTATTAAAAATGCAAAATTAGCTGGGTGTGGTAGCGCATGCCTGTAATCACAGCTACTCAGGAGGCTGGGGCAGGAAAATCGCTTGAACTTGGGAGGCAGAGGTTGCAGTGAGCCGTGATCATACCATTGCACTTCAGCCTGGGCAACAAGAGATAAACTCCATCTCAAAAAAAAAAAGAAAAGAAAAAAAATAAGCTGGGCGTGGTTGCAGCCACCTGTAATCTCAGCTACTAGGGAGGCTGAAGCAGGAAAATCGCTTGAACCTGGGAGGTGGAGGTTGCAGTGAGCCAAGATCATGCCATTGCACTCCAGCTTGGGCAACAAGAGATAAACTCCGTCTCAAAAAAAGAAAAGAAAAAAAAATTAGCCAGGAGTGGTGGCATATGCCTGTAATCCCAGCTACTTGGGAGGCTGAGGCATGAGAATTACTTGAACCCTTGAGGCAGAGGTTGTGGTGAGCAGAGATTGCACCACTGCACTCCTGGCTGGGAGACACAGCAAGACTGTCACACACACACACACACACACACACACACACACACACACACGCACAGAAAAAAGAAAAAGAAAAAAAGAGTTGTCTTTTAAGAAAAATTAGAAAATGGAATTCTAGTTAAGCAAATCCTTAACTAGAGAAAACACATGAAAGTCTGTTCAGGGCCGGGCGCGGTGGCTCAAGCCTGTAATCCCAGCACTTTGGGAGGCCGAGACGGGCGGATCACGAGGTCAAGGAGCGATCGAAGAACAAATCCCCTGGCGAAACCCCGTGACCACCGGTCAGGTCTCTACTAAAAAAAATACAAAAACGTAAGCCGGCGGATGGCGGGCCGCCTGTAGTCCCAAGCAACGCTCGGCGAGCTTGAGGCAGGAGAATGGCGTACCTGGAGGCGAGGCTTTGCAGTGAGCTGAGGATCCGCCACTGGCCACTCCAGCCTGCGGCGCACGAGCCAGACTTGCGCCGTCTCACAAAAAAAAAAAAAAAAACAAAAAAAAGAAAGTCTGTTCTCTCCCCAGGGAAATAACTGCTGGGTTTAGTCATAATATGTGACAACTGTTGTTTGTCTTTGCAGAGTTCAGCACATCTTGGGGAATCTTTGTATGCAGCTTGTTTTGGGTATTCCATTGGAAATGGTCCACAAAGGCCTCCGTGTGGGGCTGGTGTACCTGGCAGGAGTGATTGCAGGTCAGTGTTCTGAGGTAACACAGAATCAATACCTCTGGGCTCTCAGGATTACAAGCAAAGGACAACACACTTATAGTAGGCTTCTTTAAGTCAGGATTTATTGCACTCCTCATATGTGCTAGGAACACACTAAGCCTTAGAGATCATTGAATTAGAGATACTATCGGCAAGCAAAGACAAGTCATTGTGCCTGTCCTCAGGTATCTCACACTAAACACAGGGTTTTGCATAATTCAAATTGCAAGTATGCCAGGTGCTCCTGCCTGTAATCCCAGCACTTTGGGAGGCTGAGGAGGGTGGATCACTTGAGGCCACGAGTTCGAGACCAGCCTGGCCAATATGGTGAAACCCTGTCTCTACCAAAAATACAAAAATTAGCTGGGCGTGGTGGCTCACTCCTGTAATCCCAGCTACTCAGGGGACTGAGGCACCAGAATCGCTTGAACCTAGCGGGTGGAGATTACAGTGAGCCAAGATTGTGCCACCGCACTCCACACTCCAGCCTGGGCAACAGAGCGAGACTCTGTCTCAAAAAGAAAAAAAAAGAAAAAGAATAAAGAAAACTGCAAGTAGTTTGGTGTATAGGTACGTATTTGAGTAAAGGCCTAAAGCCAGATCATGAAGGCCCTTATATGTCAGACTAATGATTTTGAGAAGAAGCATGATCAGATTTGCATTTAAGAAAGACAACTTTAAGAGAATGTAGAGAATAACCAAAGGGGCTCTAAGACTGGGTAGGTACAAGCAGCATATGTTAGTGATCTCTAAAACTGGGTGCGCCTAAGATGATCCATTATGGCATGGGAAGAAAATATTAGAACTCCCATCCATCCATTTGTTTATTTATTGGAAGCATTTTTTAAATTAAACTTTTAATTTTGAGATAATTATAGATTTACATGCAGTTGTTAGAAATAATGCCTAGAGGTCTTATGTACCCTTTAAACCAGCGATCCTCAATGGTGACATCTTGCAAAACATTAGTACTGTATCACAAGTAGGACACCCACGTTGATATAGTCAGGGTACAAAACATTTTCAAACCATATGGATCCCTCATGATGTCTTTTTATAGCTATACCGTTTTCTGTCCCACCCTCCTTTACCTCTGGCAACTACGAATCTGTTCTCCATTTCTATAATTTTGTCATCTGAAGAATATTGTATAAATGGAATAATCCAGTATATACCCTTGAGGGATTGATTTTCTTCACTCAGCATAATTCTCCGGGGATTCATCTAGGTTGTTGTATATGTCAATAGTTTATTGCTTTTTATTGCCCAGTATTTATTCCATAAAATGGGTATAGCATCGCTTGTTTAACCATTCACTCAATGAAGGTCATCTGCGTTGTTTGCAGCTTTTGGCTATTAGGAATGACACTACTCTAAACACCTGCGTATACGTTTTTATGAACATAAGTATGGGGTTTTGTGAACAGAGTTTTCATTCTCTAAGATAAATGTCCAAAGGCATAGTTGTTGGATCACATGATAGTGGCATATTTTATTTTTAAATTTTATTTTATTTTATTTATTTATTTTGAGATAGAATCTCGCCCTGTCACCCAGGCTGGAGTGCAATGGCGTGATCTCGGCTCACTGCAACCTCCACTTCCCAGGTTCAAACGATTCTCCCGCCTCAGCCTCCCGAGTAGCTGGGATTACAGGTGCCCGCCACCACACCCAGCTAACTTTTGTATTTTTAGTAGAGATGGGGTTTCATCATGTCGGCCAGGCTAGTCTCGAACTCCTGACCTTGTGATCCACCCACCTCGGCCTCCCAAAGTGCTGGGATTACAGGTGAATTTTTAAAGAGAATTCTTTAGATAGTAAACATTTAAAGAATATTTTCTAGAATGTCTCTCCCATTTTACATTCACCCTAGCAATGCCTAAATTATTCACATTCAGCATTTGATGTTGTCATGATTTGTTATTTTACCTGTGTTCACGATCTGGAAGGGGGGAAGGGAAGTGCTGGGTAGAGGAGGGCATAGTGCCTGGCTAGGGCTCCACCTCCAGGCCTGTGCCCACGGACCTACATGAGGACAGACATTTTTGTTTTCCTGCCCAAATGTTGCATTCCCCAATACCACCCTGACTTGCCACGCACCTATCCTGTGCCTATAAAAACCCTGAGACCCTAGCTGGCAGACACACAAGTGGCTGGATGTGGAGAGGAACACATCGGCAGAAGATGACAGGACAGACGCCAGCAGGCCAGCAGGCCACTGACCAGCAGAAGGATGCGGAGTTTGGCTGGGGCAGTCAGAGGAGATCCCGGGCTGCCAAGTGGCCTGACTCCAGGGGAAAACCATCTCCCTTCTGGCTCCCCCATCTGCTGAGAGCTACTTCCACTCAATAAAACCTTGCACTCATTCTCCAAGCCCACGCGTGATCCATCCAATTCTTCCTGTACACCGAGGCAGGAACCCTGGGATTACGGAAAGCTCTCTGACCTGGAAATAAGGCAGAAGTAAACTGAACTGACTAACAGAAGCCACCTACAGACGCCTAAACTAAAAGAGTACCCTGTAACATGTGCCCACTGGGGCTTCAGCTGTAAATTCAACCCTAGACACTGCCATGGGGTCAGAGCCCCACAGCCTGCCCATCTGAATACTCCCCCAGAGGTCTGAGCAGGGGGGCACTGAAGAAGCGAACCACACCCCCATCGCACACCCTGCAAGGAGAACGAGGGAACTTTTCCCATTTCACTCCTAAGTGGGTAGTGATATCTGATCATGGTCTTTTGTTGTTGTTGTTGTTGTTGTTTGTTTTGAGACGGAGTTTCACTCTCGTTGCCCAGGCTGGAGTGCAGTGGTACGATCTCAGCTCACAGCAACCTCCACCTCCTGGGTTCAAGTTATTCTCCTGCCTCAGCCTCCCGAGTAGCTGGGATTACTCGTGCACCATCACACCTGGCTAATTTTGTATTTTTAGTAGAGACGAGGTTTGTCCATGTTGGTCAGGCTGGTCTCAAAACTCCTGACCTCAGGTGATCCGCCTGCCTTGGCCTCCCAAAGTACTAGGATTACAGGCGTGAGCCACCGTGCCTAGCTGATCATGGTCTTAATTTGCATTTCCTTAATGGCTAATGATGTTGAATATCTTTTTTTTTTTTTCAAATTTGGAGGGACATTCTGAGAGGCATTGTTGAATATCTTTTTATGTGCTTATCTGTCATCTGTCTATCTTCTTTAGTGAAATGTCTCTTCATGTTTTTTGCTCATTTTCTGACTTTTTTTTAACTGTTGAATTGTGAGGGTTGTGTGTATATTCTAGATGCTAGCCCTTAGCTGAATATGTAGTTTATAAATATTTTCACCCAGTCTGTAGCTTGTCTTTTTATCCTCTTACCAAGGTCTTTCAGAGAACATGAATTTTAAATTTTCATGAACTCTAACATTAATTTTTCCATTTATGAATGGTGCTTTTGGGGTTATGTCTTAAAAACTTTTCACTGAACCTTAAGTCCTGAAGATTTTTTCCAATGTTATCTTCTAAAAGTTATAGTTTTATGCTTTACATTTATTTATTTGTTTGTTCACTTTTAGAGACAGGGTCTCACTTGGTTGCCTAGGCTGGAATGCAGTGGCACCATCATAGGTTACGGCAGCCTGCAGCCTCGAACTCCTGTGCTCAAGTGATCCTCTGGCTTTGGCCTCCTAAAGTGTTGGGATTACAGGCATGAGCCACTGCACCAGGCCTTATGCTTTACTTTTTTTTTCTTTAATTTTATTTATTTATTTTGAGACGGAGTTCCGCTCTTGTCACCCAGGCTGGAGTGCAATAGCGTGATCTCGGCTCACTGCATCCTTCACCTCCCAGGTTCAAGCAATTCTCCAGCCTCAGCCTCCTGAGTAGCTGGGATTACAGGCGCCCACCAATACGCCTGGCTAATTTTTGTATTTTTAGTGGAGACGGGGTTTTGCCATGTTGGCCAGGCTAGTCTCGAACTCCTGACCTCAGGTAATCTGCCCGTCTTGGCCTCCCAAAGTGCTGGGATTATAGGCGTGAGCGACCATGCCTGGCCTTTACTTTTAAATATACAACCCATTTTGAGTTTGAGGTCTGTTTTGTTTTTTTGGCCTGAAGATATCCAGTTACGCTAGAACAATTCCTTGAAAGGACTTTTTCCTCCTTCATTGAATTGCTTTTGCACCATTATAAAAAAATCAGTTGCCTGTAGTTATGTGGGGGCTATTCTGGGTTCTTTTTATTCTATCAATCTCTATGTCTATCCCTCCACCAAAACTACATAGGCTTGCTTACTGTAGCTATATAATAAGTTTTGAAATGAGAATGATTCCTCCCACTTTATTCTTTAATTCCTTTGCCTTTCCATATAAGCATTAGAATAATTCTGTTTATAGCTATAGAAATTCTTGTTGGAATTTTGATAGGAGTTGCCTTAAATCTGTACATCAATTTGGGGAGAACTGATATATTTTCTATATTGAGTGTTTCAATCTATGAAGAGTGTCTTTTATTTATATCTCCTAAATGGTGTTGTATTTTAAATTTCAGTGTCCATATATTCATTGCTAGTATACAGAAACACAATTGATTTGTGCATATTATTCTTTTTTTTTTTTTTGAGATGGAGTCTCACTCTGTCGGCCAGGCTGGAGTGCAGTGGCGCGATCTCTGCTCACTGCAAGCTCTGCCTCCCAGGATCATGCCATTCTCCTGCCTCAGCCTCCCGAGTAGCTGGGACTACAGGCACCTGCCACCACGCCTGGCTAATTTTTTGTAGTTTTAGTAGAGACAGGGTTTCACTGTGTTAGCCAGGATGGTCTTGATCTCCTGACCCGTGATCCGCCCACCTCGGCCTCCCAAAGTGTTGGGATTATAGGCGTGAGCCACCACACCCGGCCTGTGCATGTTATTTCTTATACCTTGCAACCTTGCTGAACTCACTTAGTAGTAGGGTTTTTGTTTTGTTTTAGATTCCTTGGGATTTTTCATGTTTCATTTTGCAAATCATCATGTCAT